TGGTGGCGCTGGTGCTCGGCGCCTGTTGCCTCAGCGTCCTCCCCGGCCACTGCCCGCCGTCCACCCGCGCCCCAGCACCGGCCCCCGCGCCCGCGGAGCCGCCTCGCTCCTCCCGCCTCCCCGGCCTGCAAGTGGCCAGCAGACCCGGCCGCCGGCGCTTCCCGCAGGCGCTCATCGTGGGCGTGAAAAAGGGCGGCACGCGTGCTCTGCTCGAGTTCCTGCGGCTGCACCCCGACGTCCGCGCGCTTGGCTCGGAGCCCCACTTCTTCGACAGGTGCTATGAGCGCGGCCTCGCCTGGTACCGGTGAGCAGCCCGCCTCAGCCCCCTCGCCGCTCCCCCACACCGTTCGTGCCTTCATGGAGGCCGCCTGGCGCCCTGGGGTCTCACTGGGGTCGCAGCAGGACTGAGTCTTGGCATCTGGGCTGAGACCCGTCAGTGAGCGCAGGCTTGAGCCCAAGGACGCCTCCCGACCGGCGGTAGCAGTGCTGGGAGACTGGCGGGAAGGGGAAACTTCAGAAAAGCCCCAGTTAGAGCTTGCTGAGGGACTCACCGAGGTTTTCGGGGTGTCCAGTGCTTCCAGCCACGAAGCACTTTCAAACCAGCGGGGTTGTTCGGGAGTGTCCAAATCCTTAGCGCTCTGTCCTCCCTCTGCCTGCTGGGCCACACTCCTGACCATCTGACAGCCAGGTCGCCTCGGGCAGGGGTGACTGTCAGCGAGGCAGGAGCCCCCATCAGGTTCCCTGCAACCTCCCGCAAAGTGTCTTCCTTCCCAGGAGGAGCCCTGAGCAGAGGAGCCATTCTGGATGGTTGTGGGTGCGGGAAAGTCCGGCTCTAGCAGAGAGGAAGCTGCCTTTGGGGTGGGACTGGGATTCCTGGCTCATGCACAGGGCACTGAGGGATGGACTCCGGGTGCGGCCGTGGGATGCGGGGCCACCGCCTCGGCTGAAGCAGCCCTTCCTGGCGGCTGGTCCCTCCAGCTGTCCCTGGGTGGACCCTGCGCTCTGCTCCCGCATCTGTGTGCATGTGCCCTGCCCCTCCGGTGGGGAAGGCGAGTGTGAGCCCCCGGCCCCAAGCTGGAGCCAAACCCCTGCCGAGGCCCCTGGCAAGGTCAGAAGGTGAGTTGGTGGGGGTTCCCTTACCCAGCACCCTACCAACTGCCCGTGGTGTTAAACCCCCTCATCGGTACGGGAGTGGTCCGGTGAGGGACCAGGAGTGCAGGCCTGAGGGCAGTCGCTGGCCGGGCCCTGGCCTGGGGCTGGCCGGCACTGGCCCCTCGCTGGCTGTGCAGGAGGAGGCGGGTTGGCCGAGCTCTAGATTACACGCGTCCTACTGCTCTCAGGGGACTGTGGCCACGCGTGTGCATGTGGGGCTGGCGTGCCTGTCGGTCCTGCCAGCCAGCCACATGTGTGCCGCGAGCCTCCAGGGCCCCAACCCGACCTCAGTCTCCCCAGCTATAAGACAGTGTCTGCTCTCAGGGCCTGTGTGGAGCCCTGCCCCAGATGTCCAGCTGGGAGTAGTCAGGGGGGCAGCCAGGCCCCGCGGGGGTCATAATACACATTATTCCATGCAGCGACCCTGGCGCTCCTGTGGCCTTGGCGGGCAGACCCTAGGTTGACTTTCACCAAAGCTGTTAGCTCAGCTCCCAGGCTCTTAGGGCCTCAGTCTCGGGGTTGTGGCCCCCGAAAGCTCACAAACTCAGACAGTATTGCTCATTTGCTCGCTCACTCACAGAACCCTTCTGTTTTTCAGGGGCTGGGGTCACCAAACACCCCAAGGCTTTGGTCTGGGAAGGGTGCCCCATCTGGGGGCAGGTGATGGCCCACCATACTCTGAACATAATATTTTGAAAAAGTAAGAGGAGGCAAGGAGGGGGTGCAGGCTGAAGTCTCCTTAGTTCCTGGGGTGCCGGAATAGTGAATGCGGGAGCTGGGCCGGTACGCAGGGAGGGCCTGGACTTGGGTGGAACTTACCCCCTTTAGCCCTGCGGAGTGGCTCCTGCGGCTGGGGACTGATCCCCAGGGCACATCACAAGAGCCACAGCTGCTTCTGCCCGGCCCTGGGAGGTGCAGGACTGGAGGCCGGGGCGCTGAGAAGGAGGAGGGAGTCTCCCCGGCTGGATGGAAGCCACAAGGAAATGCAGACCAGATGAGGTGGCTTCCTGGAGGGAGAGTCCTCCTTGGTGGATCCTCTTCCGTGTCCCACCCCGACAGCCCCATTGCCCCTTCTGTACTCAGCCTGGGACTGGCTTCTGAGGTCTGGGGAGGGTTAGTAACTGGTCCTAGAGATCCCAGATCTCAGAGTTGTTTGTGATGAGAGTGGACCAAGAAAGACCTGCCCCCCGTCCCGCCCCCTTGCACAGCCTGAAGTCCGGGAACCCTTCCCCTCCCGAGCTCTCTGTTCCTCTGACTTTGGAGAGAAACGGGAGTGCTGGGTGGGGGCTATCGGGAAGCAGCAGCGTCCAGTCTGGGAGCGGGAGGAAGGTGTGCACCTGGGGTCAGCAGTGTTGGGAGGGGTGGAGGGAGAGTGCTACTTCTGCTGAGCCTGGTCACAGGGTGCCTCCCAGAACGGGCACCTTCTCTCCCTTCGTAAGTCCAGCTGACATCCCTGCAGGGAAGGGGCCTCTGGCGGCCATGTTGGGCTGCAGCCCTGGGCCTCACACCTCGGAATGGGTGCTGCAGCCCTGGGCCTCAGACGTTTGAATGGGTGCAGGGAACCTAAGCAGACTACACCACTTCCTGGTGGGCCCAAAGGAGGCCGCCTGCTGCACTCCAGTGGGGCCCCCCACAAAACCTTAGTGAGCTGGGCTGCCACACAGGGCAGTGGGTGGGGTAGAGGGCGCTTCTAGCTTGCTCGTCACCAAGAGCAGGGAGGCAGCACTGTCGTCACGGCTTCTGCAGGCCAGCGGTGCCCAGGCCTTGTTTGGTGGGCAGGGAAGCGACTGCACTGTCCTCTTTGACTCTGCACCAGAGCACCGACCCATACCCCAGCCTCACTCTGCCCCACGCCACACAGGCACACACCACCAGTGGCGCTCCCCGCCTGGCCACGGCTCTGGGCCTGTGCACCCGTGTCCTGTCTGGCCCAGGCTCCCTGGGGGGGGTTGAGCAGGAAGAGGAGGCCCAGGAGGCCCTGACACCCAGGGCTGGAGTGTGCGAGGTCATTTTGGCTGGCTGAAACCTGTGCTTTGTGAGTTCATCTCTTGGCCGGTCTCAGTCCTGTGCACTGTGAGCAGGGGACAGGGACAGGCCCCCGAGGGAGGAGGCAGGGTGGCAGAGACGGCTGCTAGCACAGGTCCCCAAGCCTCTGCCTCTGTTGACCTAGTCCCCAGCTGCATCCCAGCCCTCACTGGGAGCCGTTTGCTCAGCTGACCTGCCTGCCCTGCCGACCTCACCTTTCACTACCTGGCAGGGTTAGGGTACAGCTCGGGGTTCCCCGGGGCTGCTGGGGCTGGGCTCAGGGCAGGCTTCCCCAGGTTGGGGGCCGTCGGACTGAACCTTGGGAGTGAAGGGAATCAGAAATGCCACACCGCTGCTTGGCCCTGAGGCCTATGCAAGGTCTGGGAGGCCCCACTGGCCCAGGGTCTTGGGACAGGTCCCGAGGGTGGTCACAGCCACTTTGCTAACTTTTGTCAAGTCCTCTGGGCTCTGCTGGTAGCTTTTCAGCATGGGCGTTGTAAGGGTCCAGAGATCGGTCTAACTTGATGGAGACACAGAAAAGACAGCGACAATGCAATTGCAAAAGAGGCTTTTATTTTTCCAGCTAGCTGGGGTCCAAGTTTCAGCCCATCGCAGCGGGCCTTCACAAGGACCCCGAACCTAAGATAAAGGGGTCTTTTATAGCTCCGAATCACACTGCAGGAAGTACAGTCAGTAATTTTCCACTTGAGGGAGGGGTGTGTGTGAAAGCTAGCTGGCATTATGTTTAGGTTTAGATTAGGACTTTCAGTTGAGGTCAGATTGACCTGGCTCTGGCATCGTCAGGGCCCATCTTACTTTGTTTACTTATGTGGTCTCAGACTCCCCGGGTTCTGTCCTAGAGGGTCTAACATGGCGGTGGCTGTGTCAATTCGGCCTGACAGGCGTGGGCCCAGGCCAGTGAGAATTAAGGCAGTGGTTGCTGTCAGAGAGGGGTGCGATCAACTTCTGGGGAGGGAGTGAGAAAGACCCTCCTTGTGGGGCACTTGCCAGTTCTGATGGCCTAACTTAGGGGGTCAGTCAGCCCTGAGGGAAGGGCGACCGTGGGCAGCTGCAGTGCGGAGGTCTGCAGGTGGCAAGTCCAGGCCAGTCGGCCTCAGGGGTACAGGGCTGGGCCTGATGCCATGTGGGCTGAGGGATGGCGGGGTCATGAGTGGCAACGGAGAGCCCCCAGGGACTATGACCTTGTTATCCCGGAGCAGCGACACAGAGGCAGGTCCCACTACGGGCCCCGCCAGCACCCTCATGGCGCTCGGGCTAGAGGGGTGGGGGGGGGGGAGGCCCAGGCTTCCCTGGATGGAGGGGAGGTTAGGGGGGCCCCAAGGGGGGGGC